ACCTTTGTTTTCAAATATAAGCTGTGTTGTCGTAGCCTTTCAAAAGAAAGTTTGTGAAACCTTTCCAAATGAACTTGAATTACTGTTTTTCCTGTTCTTGTGAAACAAAACAGAGTGCCTTGGAGTTCACGTGCATGCATGTCCATTGTAGGGCTCAAAAAGAGCATGAATTGCACTTCAGGGAGCTTAAGAGTGGATCTAGTGGATCTACTTGTATGTAGCCAGAGAAAAGCAGAAAGTAGCCTGAAAAATTATCACAGGGAATATAGGAGAGCAAATCAAAGGTACTAAGGCTTAAAGAGGATATCCTGGCTTGCAAATAGATGGGGAGGGTGTTTATGGTGCGGTGTAAAAGCAAGGTGGGGGAGGAGGGGGGGGGGGGCAACAGCATGGGACTATTGAAGAAAAGACCTGGAGTTACAGAAGGAATTTGACTGATGTGAAGGGGAAAAGGGGTGGGTGCTGGGGCAGTCTGGGGCTGCTCACTGTTGAGGACAGGGGTGTTCTTCCCAGAATGGGACATCTGCAGGAGAGTGAAATGATTGTGTTTCAGCACTCCTGTCATGATAAGCATTGCTTGCTGTGCAGACAGAGCAAAAGCAGACCTGAAAAAAAAAACCAAAACCCAACAACAAAACAACTGCAGTTAGGATACCTTAGAAATGTTACTGTTACTTGAAAGATAGTGAAGGGCAGCAAACAATACTTCATTTAGGCTTCTGTTTCCTCTAACAAATTTGTACTGTGTCATCATAACATAGTTCCTTTGCATCTCCTTACTATGCTATGTGGTCTTTCAGAGTGCCAAAGCGCTTATCTTTGAGAGTGGAGATGTAAGCATACCACATTGCACAAAGCACAGCCAGAAAGAGAAAGATCAGCTGGATGTTCTGACTTACGTTTTTAAGTGATCTATTATTTTTGGAGGACCTCTCCATGTTCTATTGTTCTCCTAACTCTAGTAGTGGTGTGGGCTGCAACCTTGAAAATAATTTGTAAATAGCCAGCCTAGCTCTTAGCTTTCAGGGTTTACTGAAAGTTAAGAAGAGGCAATTCATGAAGACCTGGAATGAGCTTCAAAATGCCACAAAAACTGTTAAACTTCTTTTTCAGTTTCAGAGGAAATGTTTACATGTATTTGTAAATGCGTATTGGCAACTTTTCAGTTCAAAGAGTATTTCCCTTTGTGTATGATACTTGTAGCCAACAGGTCTGTGGAGAAATCTTGATCTGAATAATTAGAATATCAGAATTCTACAAATTTATGCTTTTATCAGGAGACTTACCTATTTAACAGGTTAATGGAGAAAAGTTCAGCATACTTTTTCTTCAGAGTGCTAGACAGGAAATGTACTGCCCACTATATTAAAAATACATTGTTATAAAAGTAACTACACTATTGTATTTTAACTCACTAGTGCTAAAGTATCTTGGCCGCTGGTGAGGATGTAAGTTTGCTCCGGAAGGCAGTGCCACCTTGAGCCCTGGTAGCTCCTTAGTCCTTCCCCAGTTTCAGCTCTCATAGCCCTTGTGTGCCACCCTCTCCATTTTCAAAAGCACATATTTAGGTAGCTTCACAATGAACTGAATCAAACAATGGGCCTTTTTTTATTCCCTGTGGGGCTATTTTTTGTCTGGACCAGTTCCCTGCTGTGCTTTCCTCTCCGGCTCTATGTTAGGTTTAGTGCTAGCACAATAGAAAGGGTGACTTGAGGGGAGAAATAAGTGGCTGGGAGAGGGCTCCTTTGCTTAAACCAGCTGTGCCAGCACTCAGAGCACATCCTGAGCTTAACTTGGTCTCTGTCTCCCCCAAGCATCCTCATGGAAGCTGAACTCTTCCATTCATCTCCTATTTCCTGATAAGGAAAAAAGGCAGCCCAGCCTCTTACGTACAAATGAGACACAACTATGCTATCTGCCCCCTTTACAAGAACTGGAAACCCTCCTGTGTTCAGTTCATCACTCAAATATGCTCTGGAGCTTTCTTAACCTTTCTTGAAACAGACTGTGGCATTCCACGCTACTGGGTTCATGCAATTGGCCTGGCCTAAGGCCAGGAACGAGCTGGGCCCCTTGTCCAGCCAAACACCAGGACTGGCTTCCACCTTTCTCTGGTCTTTGTGCCCTCCAGCTGTGGGCCCAGATGCAGCTGTGCTGCTCACATGCTTGGCAGCTGGACCCCTGCTCTCCTACTGCTCCGTGCCCCTCACCACTCACAACATGCACTTCTCTGGGTCTTGCAATAAGAGGGGCAGTCATCTGCTTTGTGAACGAATATTGAAAACTCAGGACAATTCCTTAAGGAGATGCTGGCAGTATCTGTTGCATCCACATGTGCCTGCTTCTGACTTCTAAGTGATTTCTAACCTAAACCGGTTAAAAGTCAAATACTCTGATTCCCCTAATTCTCAGCTGGTTTGATGCTTGTCACAGACTTAAAGACCTCAGGACGAAGCATCTCTAATTTCACTTTGTAAAAATCTGTTGAAGGCTAGAAATTAGGAACATGTTTGTAAAATCTGACTTTTCTGTGGTTCTCAGCTTTCTGTGTTTTCTTTCAACTTCCAAAAAACTCCTAAAATACTGCTGTGCAGTGTAGTCTCGTGTTGCTAGGTTGAGATTTTGAAGGGGGGAGATGCCAAGGACATGTTTTATAAATTCTGCCATTTCTACAGTCACTTCTACAATTCTGGAATTAATTGTGACTCTGTTTTATTTTTTTCATGCAGAAAGACAAATCTTAATTTGGTACAGTGCCACAGAGCTCATGACTCAGGAGTCAGTTCATCATGACTATAAATATTCATGCCTGAGACAAACAGCCCATGTTCCTTGTCATGTACTTGAATGACCAGTGACAACTTTACAAGAGAAATGCTACGAGATTTTTCTTTGGGGCATTTTTGCCCTCAAATGTCTTGTAATTTTGTTTTTTTGTTCTGGTTTTGGTTTTGTTTTACGTCAACAAGGAAAACAGTGACACGCCTAATGCTTTTAGAGAAACTGTTTTCAGTAATTCATGCACAGTCCATATATATAAGTAGTTGAAAATACGTTTTTAAAGTTTTGTGTTAATATATTCCAGGGAACAGAATTGTGAAATGAGAAAGAAGCATAGTCCAAGGCCAGATTTTGACTAACTGGTTTTGTGTAGCTACCGTGGCACACCTCACCCCAAGAACCTAGAATTTCAGAAGTGGTCAGTATCTTTTCTCTTGCAAGAAAACAGAAAAGTTTGAATCCTTTTCTGGGCCTTCCGGCATAATAAAACCATAGTAAATCTTCCTGCAACTACAACCACAAGAACAATGTAGCATCTAGCATTTCCTATGGGAGAAAAAAATTAATTAGCTCTGTCAGAGCTGTTCAAGAACTTCCCTCTCTGATGAAAACCTAGCGTTGCTGTTGTTTTCACTCAAACTCAGCTGTGATTTGCATCAATTGAGATTTTGGGTTGTAGTTTTTTTTTTGGTTGCAAATCAGAGATGATCTCAGTACATCTGTGGTTTTGTAGACATCCCAAGACTCCTGATACGGAATGAGAAGACAGCTCTTGGAGGCTAAGTGCATTGTGGGACATCCACTGGAAATCTGGACTGTCTGCAAGCCCTTGGTTTCGCAACCTGTCAGGGAAAGTGCCACCAGTGTCAGCAATTGCCACTGTCTCTGCAGCAGCAGCGTTGCCAACATGAAAGATGTAAAAATCAGTCTTTTCCTATATCTTCTCCTCCATCTCCCCTGATGACAAAGCTGCTACTTAAAAAAATTCATCCTTCTGGCTCTTCTATTTGCCTTGTGTTATTTTGAAATGGGAAGATGTGCTTTCTTCCTGTTTAAAGCAGTGACTAGGGCTAAGAATTTGCCTTTTTCAATAGTTCTCACATGTTCAATTGAACCTACGCAATTCAGTAATAATCTATCCTCCCCTTTTTTAGGTAACCATCCCACTATATTGGAGATGGGTCACCAGAAGGACTTCTGCTTCTAACTCCCCAGAAAATGGATGGGAGAAATGATATAATGTCCTTCTCTCCATGGCAAAAGCCCCAAGACCATGAAAGTCTGTGGAAATGCAGATAACGCTGGCTAAAAAGAAAAAAGAGTTTGCTGAATACCATAGATTACTTTTGGTTTTGCTGATAGATACACCAGATACTTCTGGTATCAGTTAACACTTTCCTTTTACACAAGTCATTATGAGAGCATTTATTCAGGATGCTAAAGACAGTGCCTGTTTCCTTCCTGCCTATGGGGTTCCTCTATTGGTACCTGCTGGTAGAGCCCCAGCTGCCAAACTACTTAGGTCTGGCTTTCTAGCCATTGGTTATTTAACTACTTACACAAAGCGGAAACAATTTAAGAGATGAAATCTAGAATATCCCTCTTTCAGGACAGATACAGTAGTATTATAGAGGAAATACAGGGTAGGATCCCTTAGAACAGATGAAGAAATTGTCCTAGTATGTCCCACAGCCCAGGAGAGAGCTTGGATCTCTGGGCTGCTCTGCTAGCAAGTAGATTAAATATAATTTGTGTATACTTACATATGCTGCCAAACATGACACTGGCACAGTCTGCATGCCTGAAGAACAAGCCCCACGTAGTCTGCTTTCAGACAGGGTTGTGTTTCACTTAGATTTTAAAGGCTGTTGCTAACATGGTCAGTTGTGCCAGAAAAGAGAGATCCTGATGATAAGTAACTTAGAAACTGAAAAATAAGTTGCTTAATGCACAAAAAAATCTTACAGTAATTATTACAGGTCCTTCAACTTTAGTTTGCTAGGCAAAGAGTTAAACAGTTCAAAGGCAGTTTCCTTTGGAAATGTTTATTTGTTAAGTTCAGTGTGGCTTAGACCCCAAATAGAAATACCAGCTTCAAACAGAGCAGTACTATGAAAGTAGGAATAGTCTTGTGGCCTTCCAGACCTCACAGGCTATGTTGGTTTGTTACCCAGAATCAAAACAAAGATGTCCCTTAAAACACATATACATTAACTCAGTGTATTTCACACATCATAATCTTTTATTTCGGATCTGCTTTTCTCCCCAGTCATTGGGGTTGTGCCAAAGTTACTGAGATCCTGGATGAGCTATAGACTGTTCAGTAAAAAGCCTGTATGGTATGACTGGGCCATCAGAGCTATTTGGATCATTAGAGAACAGGTTTTAAGTGCTATCGCTCCTGTTTACTAAGCTTGAAGTACTTAATTCTTCAGATTTTGGAACTGTGCTTATCTTTGCCTCTTGATACCCTTTACATTGCAGAAAACTGGGTAAGGAAGAACCCAGCAGGTGCTTCTCTTAAATGGAACCTGGGAGATCTTGTTAGCTGTGGGGTGTTCTTTTTATAATTTTTTTTCAGCTGTCCGAATCTTAAGACTTCTAATAAATGCACTAAGAATTATAAAAACATTTTTAATACATGATGAGATCAATCACATAATGTAACAGTCAAACTGATGCAGAAGTTATTAGTACAGGAACTTGGTATCATGCTAAATCTGGGGAGTTATCTTTGATCTACCTCCAGATCCTCCTTTTATTTGTAAACATCCAGCTAATCACAGATTTCCTCTGACTTTTATGAGTGAAAGAAACTGCATCCTTTGTAGTATCTCTGAAGAGCTTTAACTTAAGAGATGTTCATGATTTGTGTGATGGGGAGGTATGAGCTCCATCTGGTGGATACCCGGAAACATGCATATTTCCATTTAAAAAGCTCAAAAAGTTTCCACAGTTGAGCAGTTCACTGTGTGAAGAGTGAAGCAGATACTCTTGCAGCTGTGCATTCCTTAAACAGCTTCTGTTTTCAGGGTAGCGAGAGGATTTTAGAGTCTGAGAGGAAGGCACAACATTTTACCTCTAGTTTAGCTTACTGTGGGCTAAAAGCTGTTACCAGTGCCAGCAGTTCTTGGGTGTTCACAGTTCTGCATGTACACCATACCACCACAGTTGGCACTGGTTTACAGTATTTTTGCAGTCTCATCGGAAAAATGTAATTTACTATTCATAGGCAACCTACCTTCCCACATTCAGAGGTGGTCCCACACAGGGTAGTTGGTGTATTTGAGGATGGTGGTGTCAAGAAACTCAGTCACGCTGCATGAGCTATGTATGATCTGCAAATGACAGAGATCTTTCTTTGACTGTAAAATGCAGGCCCGCATCTTGATAAACAGCAGTGTTAAACACTGATGTTGCCTGGGGAAAAGTAATGTTCACATGCATACTGTAGTTAGAATACCTTTTTTTCTTCTCCTTTGTTAGTTTACAAACAAAACAACAAAAAAAGGCATTTCCTGACCTTTGAGCTAGTCAGGTAAAAGCTACTTCGAGAGAACACCATCAGTCCAATGAATTCCCCTCAGAGATTTGAAGAAAGTAGTACGTAGACACATGTACTTGCTGCCAGAACCAGCAGTACTTTGAAGCTAGCAGTTTGCCCAAGACCTGCATATTCACATCACCCTCCTGTCATGAAACAAAAGTAATTTGTCCCAGGTTGCTTTTTTGCCTACCATGAAGTACGTGACATGATACAGAGAGCAAATAAAATACACAGTCAGTTGTGGACCTAGCATATGCTGTGAGGGCCTGACCACATGTCACACAGGGTATGCTATAATGCACGCTGAAGTGTGGTGCACCACTCCCAAGGCTTTCCTCTCAAAGGTGTGCCAGCAAATTTAGCCCTGAGCTGGCCTTGAGGATGCTCTAACAGGTAAGTAATGCAGACAGCTGATAAACCTGGCTTATGTGCAGCTTTGAAGCTTTTCCTCCTCTGCAGTGTAGACACAGCTACTTGGTCCAGGCTGCCATAGTGCACATAGACACAGCAAGTGTAAATTAGCCAGAAGTGGGACAGTTGTGTATTTGTACAACACGATTTACATATCCAGAGAGAGCAGTTGGTGCACCAACAAAAAAAACTCAGGGATTGTCTTTAAAAGTTACATCCACATGTTTCCAATTTCTTGACTGTTTGTGTCAGCTACAGAGCTGCTCATACTTGTTATAAATTAGTTTGGTCAAAAGAGACATGGGAATTGTAGATGTTTATATCATTTATCTGCATTTATCTGCATTTAACAAAAAACCCCCACAACAACCCAAACCCCACAACCCAAAACCCAGAGGCAAATATGAAGCAGTAGTAAGTATTTCAGAGTAAGGGGGGGTCTAAGCTATGAGAAATCCAGGCTGAGAAGTAACAGCCATGCAATTTTTTGAGCATCCACTAAGCTAAGTCATAAACCACTGTTGGAAAGTAAAGAGAAGTTTTTCTTCAGCAAATCTTTAGCTGTTTTGAAAATGGAAGGCAAAGGAGAAAAGAACAAACAAAAGCTTCTGAAACAAGGTCAGAACATGGTTGAAGGTTAAATTACATTTTGTTAGGGTAGGGGTTGAAGGAAATTAACTGTATGGCTTTTAAACAGAGTTCCTGATTGTGGTAGATGCTCTGAATAGAACTTAAGGATGGGTATTTGGAGCAAAACCACACCATAGTGAGGTGGGAGGGACCACATCATGCTAGCAAATACAGTACTGGAGTGTGGGCTTCTGACTTTTAATATTTTTCTTGCATTTCTTTTCTGCATGGCAGTAGTGAAATAGGGACTTCTAAGCTTCTGAACAACTGAGAGAACCAGGTTTGGAGAAGACATGAGGAAGAACTGGTCGTCAAAAGATTTCATAAAAACTCAGAACTGCGTGTGCCAGATCTGAATTGGCACCACCTTTGCTTTTTTTGACATACTGCAGCAGTCGCAAAAGGCACCAAAACAGTCAAATTAGAACTTGCAGTAAAAGTTCTGTTGGACTCCTCTCTGTACCATAAAACTTACCTCCTTGTGACTATTATTTACACCTGTTAAAAACAGATTTGAAGACTCCTTTCATGGAGCAGACACACAAAAGAGGCAGATGCCAGGTGTTAAGGGCTGCACTGAAGTGAGTTTGCAGAATTTGCTATTCATGTGCTGGAGTGCTCCTTTTCTGAAATAAGGCTTATTAGACTTTCTGTCAAAAACTGCTTAGATTTTTTTAGTTCAAACATTATATACTTATGTACAATGCTAAACTTACCATGTGTTAAAAAAAAAAAAAGAAAAAGAAAGAAAAGTATGAGGTGAAAAAGAAAAATCTTAAAAGCAGAGGAAGGACAGGATGGTGAGAAAGATCCAGCTGACCTGATTCCCCTGCTGCCATGATCATCATTTGCAAGCTGAAGCGGACCTTCCATGAAGCACAGTGCTTGTATGTGGATAGTAAAGAAATGGTGCTCTGGTCTTACTGGAAGAATGGTGAAAAATTTTTACCAAGAAGGAGATGAGTAAATGTGAAATAATCTTCAGAGGGCACAGGGTGCACCTTGTTCTGGATCTAAGCCTTGCAAAACCTGTCTTGAAGAGGAGAATCAGGCATTCCTGTTCAGATTTAAGCAATTTTTATGCATTTTTGTGCATTTTTAATAATGTTTACAGCTAAATTAATGGGGTGGGGGGGAAGCCCTAACAAAAAAAATAAGGCAGTAAATGTTTCAATTTAGGGCCAGCATTGATTAAAAAAAATACAAATTTCTTTTGTTTTCCCCAGACAGCAATGGGTCAGATTGAGACATGTAAGCAAACTAAACATGCTGATCTATATTCTGCTATAGTTACGCATCTTACTAATTCTACTCATGACTATAAAAGGATGTTTCATTGTTCAGTGTAACTGTTATCTCAAGAAGAGTCTGTCTATAATTTTATATATAATTAGCATAATTTTCATTACTGTTGTTATGAAGTGTGTAAAATACTGTCTGTATTGCAGCTTGTATAGGGCATGTGTCTGCTTGCTTTACTCTTTTTGAGTTTATAAAGTTGCTATACAAATGGAAGAAAAGATGTTCAGATATTTTTAAATGTGGTTGCTTAACCTAATTACACAGCCCCAAACATTTCAGTATATAGATGTTGAAAGTATCGGCTCTATTAACACTTAACACCTTGAACATTAATGTGGGCATTTTAAAAGCCTTCAGTACAATACTGGAATGCTGACGCTTCTTCCCAGTGGCTGTGCTGGAGCAAAGGGGAAGATGGTGACTAACTGGGCAAAGCCAGATCCCACTAGGGATTCTGCAGGAAGAAGGCACACTGTAGCTGGCAACTCTAATAGAAAATGGGGTGTCCTTGCCATACAGAACAGGAAGGACCTTTACAGTAAGACCACCATGAAGCAGAGGAGAAAAGCGCATTATGTTTATACCATCACCTGAAGACAGGCCTTCAACAGTATACTAAGCGTAGGACATCTAGAACAGGCTGTGACTGTTCTGTAACGTAGCAATTATTTGTAGTCTATGTAGAGTAACGCTGAAGACATTCCAGGTTAGTTTTCATCATCTTTAAAGCTTATTCTGTGCTTTGATACAGTATCTCTAATAAAATGTTCTTACAAATCTGCTTATTATTTTCATTTAATTCCATCTGATACCTGAGTTAATAACAGTCCCAACAACAGGGTGAAGTTCCAGTTACCACCTGTTTCATCTGCTCCTGCGTTTTTCCCATTAACCTGTTAAGAATGATAAGAAGGAAAACTGAGATGAGTAAAAAACAAATAATCATAGGCATGAGAAAATAAGAGAAATTTTTACTTCTGCTACAGTTCAGTTACAAACATTCTTTACACTAAGCATTTTAAGGGGATCTGAGCAATTAATAGAATTATATTGATCTCTGAGTATGAAGTATTGGTCTTTGCCTGTGTTTGCAGTAGACTATTTCCCTTAAGATTTAAAATAACTAGTTTACAGTTACTACCAATGATTACAGTATGTTGTTTAACCCCGTTCACACCAGTTCTAGACAAAATGATCTGTTTTCATTTGTTCACCCCTTGGACCATGCAGAGCATCCTTTTAATATCTTCAAACAAGACTAAGCAGAATTCGACTTCAAGTATACTAGAAGGTAAGATCAGAATTCAGAATAATACTGGCAAGATGCAAATGTGATCTGAAAACATAAGATGTTATTTAACAGGAACTAGGAATAAGTGCAAGATGGAATCATTAGCTGTGAAAATAAAGGAACAATTGCTTAATTTCATACAATGGTTTGGGTTGGAAGGGACCTTAAAGACCATTCAGTTCCAACCCGCCTGCCATGGGCAACGACACCTTCCACCAGCTTGCTTCAAGCCCCGTCCAACCTGGCCTTGAACACTTACAGGGTTGGGGCAGCCACAGCTTCTCTGGGCAACCTGTTCCAATGTCTCACCACCCTCACAGTAACGAAATTCCCAAGATCTCATCTAAATCTACCCTTTCAATTTCCATTGAAAAGAATAAATGTGTTATTTTGGATCAAATCCTGCGAATTAGTCTGGAGCATCATGCTGTTGCAAATAAGGGTAAAACCTAAATGTCTAAACTGGAGTGTAATCTGCTCCTTCAGAACTTGTAAGACATGAGCTAGTAACATCTCCAGTTTTGATCGTGCACTTGAAGAGTAAGATGCAAGTTGCATGCACAGAATCCAGAAGAAAGCAATGAGAATGTCTAGAAGCTGAGAAAACTTTGCCTTTGAGCACAGATTGAATGATTTTAGATCATCTTACTGGAAAGATGATAAAAGGGAAACATGGTTTTTTCATATATATAAAAGACTAAAATAACTTTTTCTCATACCCAAAATTGAGAGGGGAAAAAAAAAATTACCTTAAATTGCAAGAAAGATTTTAGTTAGACACAAAATGAGACTAAATGACTTACTAAGGCCCTTTTCTGATCTGATTCTATTATTACTTGCAAACTATCTGCTTTGAAGTCCCTTATTTATTACTGTCAGTAGAGCTGGCACTGACTGCAAGAAGAGGAGGCTGCAGTTCTAGGAAAGTAAAGAACTGACTGCCTAAAATGCACAGCACGCCAGCTCATCTGGTTAGCACTAGTGATACTAACCCCAGCTTTTAATCACACCTCCGCAACTGTCAGAAGTCTATGTAAATAAATGTGTTTTAAAACCACTTAATTATAAAATAATTTCCTTGAAACATCAAGCATTAGTTTAATCAGTGTTGACAACTTCCATGATTTTATTGAGTCTAATCAATCTGAAGCAGCTTAGTTTTTGTTGTGAGATGGTGTATCAGCTATTTTATTTTTGTTTAAATTAGCTCTGCAGATTACATGGAAAATCCGAAAAGTGTAATCTGACCATATGCTAAAAACTAAAAAGCCAGAAGGTAAATAAAGCCATGTGTGTTTTTTAAGCTCGTAATTTTAAACTAGGTTTATAATTTTAGGAGATCTGACTCATGATTTTTGAACTTCTGGTTTGGCAATACCAAATTACCCTACCCTATATTCTGCTGTTCTGAGTATGTCCATATTAGTAATCATGCAGTTATGTAATTGCCAAAAACATACTGATTATCAGAACTTTATTTTGTTATTAACAAACACAAAGGAACACTTATTTAAGAAAAATCATGTATCGTGGCTGTCTTTCAAACAAGAAGCATCTCTGTGCAAAAAGTGGAAGTATATAAAAAAAAAGTAACATAAAAAAGTTACATGGTTCCCTCCCACATACATGATGATTTTTAATACAGCAGCACTTTGTCAGAAGAATCTTGTCATTTTATATACTGATAGTTCTTGTCTGAGTTCCAGTTACTAGACATATATTCACAAATACAAATGAGATGAAGAATTTCAGTGATTAAAAGATATTATGGCAAAGTATTCTTCATTCCTAGCACAGCTGTTACTTAGACTGGTCTGAACTGATTGATGTATTATAAAAGAATTCATTTATCCTCACCAATACAATCTGATTTTTTCAATATTCTGGATAGATTTACTAGGGAAATGGATATGAGGCAAATGGATACAAGGGAAATGGATACCAGAATTTAAGGTCTAAGGGCTTCTGATTTTTAAACCTGAACAGATCATTGCATTTTAACTTCTATCATTTTAATGATTCAAGTGGCTGATGTCTGACTAAACTTTAAGTTGTATTCACTCCTGTTTTTAGACTACACTGCCTTATGAAATACCAAGATAAAGGGCTGAATTCTTAGCTCTGTGCCAGATACTGAGCTCTTGCTCCATTGAAGAATCTACCACCTTCATTTCTGGCTGGGTGGTGTAATGGTGAAGATCATACAGCACATTACATAATGCTGCCAAACAGGACTCATGGGTGTATTATTGATCCTAAACACAAATAAATGGATCAGAAAGCAGCCTCCTACTTCCAGAGTTGCTAACTTGCTGTTCTGAAAGTTACTAGGAAAATATGGCTTACACATTCAGGATGGGAGAATAACAGCAAATGTTTTGTTAAAGGGAAAATCAGACTTGTGCAGAAGTTCTCACCATAAGCTCACTCTTTAATTTCTGAGCCAGTCTGTTTAGCTCACCTATAACATGACTGCATGTGAAGCAACATAAAAGAAAATCATGTGGCTCTTCCCATATGAGAGTATGACAGCATAGATGAGTTGGTCCACAAATTGTTCAAAAAGTCTTAGAGAACTGCTGACAAAAAGCAGGCTTGTAATAGCTCTTGTTGAGAAAAGGGAATAAGTTTAATGATGTTTTGGAGGTTGCTCCCTCTAGTTAGACAGTTCTTTCTCTAAGGACATTGTTAAGAGATGAGAGGTGATGGCAAGAACATCACATGAACTTCTGATTAGGAACAACAGCTTAAAGAGCAGCTCAGACCTGTACATATCGTTGTCCGAGAACAAAACAGTACCTATGTGCTCATCTGGAAAAGAAGTATTTCTGCAACAAGCTAAATGAAGTATTTGGTAGCCTCAGTCTACAGAACTTTTGATTTTTTCTGAGACTGACAAGTGTGTCATTTACACCGTAAGAATTCGAATTCCTCCAAAATCCTTCCCCCAAATTTACTATAGCAAAACAACCATTCAAATGATGAAATAAATAGGACTGAGGGAGTACCATCAGGATAAGCAGTAACCTAGTCAATGCAAACAGCTCTTTAACAGGTTATCAGCACATCTGGGACATCAGCACGTCTGGATATCAGTACAACCATATCAGGGCCATACTAGTTACTGGGCCAAGGAAACCCCAAACAAGTTTTGTCTGGAGCTGTTGTATGTATTTTGTGCCTGAGCTGATAAAACATATATTAAAAAGCTTTAGGCCAAAATTAATGAAATGTCACTTCTAAATCTGATAAAAACCTGATTGATTACAGCTACACTTAAAAGGGGTATCAAATTAATTTTGCTGCAAAGACTGGTTATTGTGTTAATCGATATTGTATTATTTCTTAGCTCTCTCCATCTCTGTTTCTGTACATACCTTTTTGAGGCAGGAATCCTCTTTTTACTCAGAAATAACATGATCTGAGTTTGTACTGCAGCTATCAAAACAGGGTTCTTGTGCATTACTAGTGCTCCTAAGGGACAATCCTCACAAGGACACAAATAATAAAACCAACTTTTCAGCTGAAATGGAATTTATCAATCACCTCTCTCTATTGCTCTGGAATTTCTCCTCTCTCCATACGATAAAATCAACTGAATGAAGTAGCAGTGAATTACAGGAAGAGACAGCTTGGTGATGAATCAGTCACTGGTCTAACTACAAGAGAAACCGACACCCTTCCCATCAAAGAAATATGCATACTGTATATACAGAGCAGCTCCTGTTGGACGCGGGGAGAGCTATTTCCATTTTCCACTGACTTACTCGGATTTCCGTGAGGTCAGAACCTGTGTGAAAAAAGACCAGTATCTGTGGGAGAATAATAGTTACTTAAGCATGTACAGTATTTACTGTCAGAAATGGAAGCTCTTCCATCTCAAAGCTACATACACACATACCACACAAAAGAGGTGGAATCTTCATGTCTTGCAAGAAGGTTTTGAAAAGCACATTAATTACAGCAAGGATGTTTTTGATCGGGAGTTCAGAGTATCTATAATAACTACGTGAAAACAAACCAGGCTGGGAAAAGCTGTAACGTATTTTCTATGAGGGCTGATACAGTGTAACGCTGAAGGCTGGGGACAAAATTAGTGATGAGTTAAGCGTACAGTGTATTTAATCCTTCTCTCACGTAACACGTGAAGTCTGTGGGCGGCAGACTTTTAGCCGCACTTTTAAAGTAGCTATCGTAAAGGAGCTACTCACTAAGCCTCGGAGAAAAAAAGAACTCGGTGTGGTATTCTGCTCTCCTTACTGGAATATTTTGAAGCGTTTGTCTCAAAGTAAGAGTAATTTGGAGGAAGCACAGCAGCGCATTTTCATGTGTAATAGATTTCCATCAAAGCACTTTCCCAGCTCCGAGTTAATAGCTTCATAGCTTTTGCTAAATGTAGGCGTGACGACATTCTGCATTAGCACAACAGAAAAAAATTTGGAAGCGTTTCAAGAATGGTCACCATGCAGGAACACGCAGCAACAGGGCTTCCCAAGCCCCTAACTCCTTCTTTCCATGTTTGCCTCCCGGTACCGGAACAGGCTACCCGCCACTTCGGCAGCACCCACAAGCCGTGACTGACCACCGACTGCGGCCCTCAGGGCGAGGGGAGAGCCCGCCCGGGCGGGTATGGGCGCGGAGGGCTGTCAGCCAACCAACTGCTGCCGAAATAAAGCTAAAAAACGCCTCAGCCTTCGCTCGCTGCTGGACCTTCCCTCTGCCATAGCGGGAGGGCGACAAGCCACCGGCACTGCGGAGAAGTCTCCTCAGGCTGGCGGCGCCTCAGCCCTGCCCCCACCGGGGTCGCGGCGACACGGCGGACACGGCTCGGCTGCCGTTTGGCACTGACAAGCCGCGGGTGTAAGGGTGACCGGAGGGAGAGAGGGGGGTGTGTGGAGATGAATTTCTGCCTCCTCGCGACCAAATAAGGGTAAACTCCCCATCAGCTGGCGGCCGGCTGCAAGATGACCGCAGCGCTGAAGCACACACCGGGAGGCGCGGCCACGCTCCTCCCTTACGCCACTGTCCTCAGGGGGATGAACAAGCGAGTCGCATAGCGACCACCCGGCCTGCCCCTCCCGGTTACGGCGGCCCGATCCCCATTGGATAGCGCTGATGTCAATCACCGGCCCTGCTTCGCATGTCTACGGGAACTTTCTCGCAG